GATCACATGTCAGTATCTACAGAAATTGGACAATACTTAATGTCACCCTGGTAAAATACTAGCCGCTTCCTACCAGCTCGCCTAGGGAGAATAAGTCCCAGGTTCGACTCCTAGTGGAGGCATTAAAAAAATGATGACCTCTGTCACATTAACAATAGACAAAGCTGCCATTATCAATCTACATACACCCTACCTGTTTTATGCATGAAATATTGTTTGAACAACTTGGTACTTGATGTCATTACAGTCTGATAATAAAACAAAACTGTAAATGACTTCACCGTATTTATCCTGCAATAAGTCCTGGAGACCAACACAAACTCTCAACTCAAAGTAGGGGGTGGGCTTATTGAAGGTCAATGAAATAGCATTCGTTACTAATATTGCTACTGGTATATGTGGCATGGAGGGGCTTATTACCAGGTATGGGCTTATTACCAGGTATGGGCTTATTGCCAGGTATGAGCTTATTACCAGGTATGGGCTTATTGCCAGATTGATACGGTAAGTTACATGTACTTGGTAGGTATTTTCAGATGTAGTCATGTGCATCATTCATGCCTGTGGGCACTATATATAAATCTTGTGAAATACTGTAGTTAGAGACATGGATAAATGTAGACTATTATGTAATGTACATGAATAGCAAACTTGCCATCTCTCCCTATTTAGGATGGAGACTTTCCATTTTGGACCCTTAAAATCAACATCTTCATCTGTAGAATTTGCTCATCCTATTCAAATATTGTATGACCAACCTTTTATTTATGTTTTTTTTTAAATTTTAAGAATGTAGAATCTTCTCCAAGGAAATATTAAATGGTTGACAAGTATGGGATAGTACTGATTGACTAGTGGCACTGGATGGGAAAGTCAACTTGGGGGAGGGAGGTAGGGGATCGGTTTACTACAAATGTTGGGACAGTTATGGGTGGAGAGATGTGATAGTTGGGTGGGTAGGGGGTACTTACAGGTCTAGTACAGAGCTCTATATCAGTGATAAGCCCATTCTCCAGAATTCAACAGATGTTACAGATATTAACATCACATCTGGAAGATTTCCATGCTTATTACACAGCGTCCAAAATTAAGTATTATGTCTGTAGTAACATCTCCATCCCCCAATACCCATCCAGACCCCCAGGATAACAGATTGATCAGGGTGTTGGGAGGATATACATAGGATCCATGATACAGGGAAATATTATGACATCACACATCAGGGCAGATCTAAAATTATATCTGGAGATGCTCC